CCAGTCGGCGCCGCCTGGATTTTCTGAGGCATAAAATCTCTTATCACGCCTTCGTTCGGATGGGAAGCAAAAGTCCATGAGTTGATGTGATGGGTCGGTATGTAGGGTCCAGGTGTGGGAGCTGCCTCCCTGGCGTCAGTGGCATTGGTACCTCAGTGCGAAAAACAAACCAAGGAAAAATAATACTAAATAAACGGTGATTATATCCAGTTTTAACAAAGATGACTTCTAAATTTACTTCTCTTTCCATATGTAACCGTTGGATTTAATAAAACCACATTTTGTTTATAATTTGTTAGAAGTATAATACTGCTTCTTGATTCCAAATTCGGAAGAAGGCAGGTATAATGATTTCGCTAGGAGTGCTTCTTTCGTTTTTGAGAACAATGGATACCTAATGGGTGTAAATTCATACTATGCACTATCAGAGGTTGATACCGTAAAAGGTTGATAACTTTTTAAACAGGAGTCGAATCAAATTTCGGTCTTCAATAAACATGTTCTGCATAGCTTTTCCTATCTAAGTCATAGTTTGAGCAATGTGTGAATTTTAGACTAGCAAATGAATCGTTTCTTCTCGTTTTCCATACAAACATGAAAGTTCTCCCGCAAATCCAGATCATAACCAAATTTGTTCAAATTTGGCACAGTTGTTGGAGACCTCAATACAGATCGAAAGAGCAGTGGGATGAACGGAGTTGTAAAGTTGACCCACTCTATTAGGTATAGTGTGGCAAGTATAATGATAATCTCTGGGGGTAGAGTCGAGAAGTATTCCAACCAGATAGCGATTTTTCATTACTGTCTTACCAATTCATTCATGGATTTCTCGGTCGATGTAAATAAATAAAACCTGATGGTTAGTTTATTGACACCTCATGGCACACTTCAGGTTTCGAATGCTATTTTTAAAAAGTAAGTTCAGGAATATTAGCATTTCTTTCAAAGTGGCTGCAAATCAATTTGGCACGATGCGGAGTCAAACGAGTGCTCAACGTGATGGCTTATGTCCACCCGCTACAGACCGTGAGAATATTTTTCATCTTTGCCTGGCAACTGGTTGGACGAACGAGAAAGGCGGGGTTAGATTCAATAAATTTACACTGAAAACAGCTGAGACTTGATGCTATGATCACTCTATACGCTCTGTACAGTACTCTGTGGGCGCTGTTTGTAGCAATGCACACTTTTAGTGTAGAGAATTTTGGAGCAAAACTGGTACAAATTTGTAATTAGCTGAAATGATTTTCTGTTTCTGCCTCCCTTTATCTATGCTATGATGCCTCAGAAAATCCCGACGGTGCCGACTGGGATTGGCCCAGGCCCTTTGTGGTGAGAATTAATCACGCTTACCACTACACCACTGGCGCCGCTAAGTAATATTTATTGAAGTTTGCCGAATAAGCCATTTTTAAAACAATTGCATGATTCAAAATGGTCGATTTGTTGCACATATTTAAATAATTACCCATATCAAACAATTACCCATATCAAACAATTATGCAAAGTTTCATGCAAATCGGGAAGGTCGAGTCTAATCAATTCTTCTTTTGGCGTGGAACTTTTAAACATAAAGAGCTACGGTAATATAATGTAACCTAAAATTACATAAAAAAACTTAATAATAATAAATCTAAAATATGTAATCTTTTTTGTAATTTTCCTACTACTATTTATATCAATAAAAACAATGCAAGTAGAAAGCATACGATCCAGCACTTTTTTTTTCCAAATAGGTATGTCATAAAAATATCATGAAATTTTTTTTTCGTTTGGCTCCTGACTCCCCTACTTACAAATTCACAGAAAACGAATGCAAAATCAAAACAAGATTAATGTGTCGCAGTTGGAGAACGACTCCAAAAAACTGTCCAGCACATTCACAGTAGTGGCAGATTATTTTCAGAAGCAACAGGTGCTTTTATGCAGCATAGCTTATTTTCGGTTGTTGTTTGTGTTTCAGTTGAGCCCGGAGGGCATATTGACAAAAACATTGAGTTTTCGGTGAGTTCAAGGGCGAGTGAAGCAGATGGTTTTAACTGTAGTATTTTTCAATGAATAAAATATACAAATGAGAATCAGCTATTTAAAATGTAGACATATTAGCCTTCGCTTTGGTATCATTCCATTCTAGTTCATTTTTATGGAATGCCAATTAAGCATTTAGTCGAGCAGATTTGGGGATAAAAGAAAAGCAAATGGTATTAACCAATAACAGTGTTTTTTACAGTGTTGCCAAATTTATATTTTACATATAAAGTGACTGAACACTTTAAAAGTGATTTTTTTTAAGTAGATGCACCCAAATATCTGTTGTGTTAGCACCACAGCCATTTGTACATACACACTTAGAAATACCTAATCTTACACGTGACGGAATCCATCTTGGACATAAATGATGAGACGTTAACAAACATGTCATATCAAATTTAGTGCTCCGAGACTGAAAAGTTCGAAAGTACGTTTGATTGGACTGAATTTCACGTCTATTATGACTCAATTTTATGTCAAAATTGACGCTCGTATATGTCATTCTTAGAGCACCTAAATTTGCATCAATTTTTCTAAGTGTGTATTATGGATAAAACTTACATAAATTTCAAAGCATACACACTTAGAAAAAATCATGTAAATTTAGATGCTCTGAGACTGACATATACGAGCGTCAAGTATGATATAAAATTTAGTAAAAACAGACGCAAAATACAGATCAATCAATCGAGTAACGAACTTTTAAGTCTTGAAGCACCTAGTTTTACATGACATGTTTGTTTACGTCTCATCGTTTATATCAAAGATGGATTCCGTCACGTGTAAAATTAGTTATTTCTAAGTGCATAGTACATGTGAGATAGCATTTTGTATAATAAAGTGAAAATGTAAGAAAGTTTTTTTTTAAATTTTTTTACGCATTTTCTAAAGCAATAAAATAAATTCCCACTCCCACTGCACAATGTAGCCAAAACTATTCTTTTTTAGTACAGTGTTGCCAAAATAATAATATTGCGATAAAAAAATGGAAATTTGAAAGTGAATGAAATTATGTTTTAATAAATTCCATTGTCATGTTTTACTGTCTAACATCACAGTCAACGTTTAATATCACAATCATCGTTTACATATTCAACCGTTGGTTTAATTTTTTGTTAGTAGGTATTGTAGCCAGGACAATCTATTATCGACCATAAAGTAGAAATGTGTCGGAATTTTACCAGATATCTAGTACATCTTGAAATTCTATATTTAACACTTCGACCACCAAACCAAAACCACACTTTTCACTATTTTTGTCATATCTTCGGTTATTTTCAACGGATTTATTTTGTTTTTACTTTGTTGGAAAGGATATTATTTTCCTTATTTATGATTTAAATAATCATGCAAAATGGTTGATACAATTGATTTTTTTATTTGATGATCTAAAATTCTTGCCGAATTACTAGACGAATTGATTTGGCAACTACTGGGGTGACTGTACATGGATGTTTACATCACCAGTACAATTCAGAATTTTTATCTGTGTATATGTTTCACGATAAACTAGTGATTGGTTTTTGTTCCTTCCGTTTCTTCGTGTTTCGGGTAGTTTCGGTTGGAGTTTAGTACGATGCCTGCTAATTCTGGAAAAACTTAAACTGGCTAGAAGCCTAACCCAATGGAATCCCATGAATTTACCATAAAGGAATTCAAATAGAACAAGAAGCAGCTTTCAACATCCCAAAATTGGTGAAAGCTATAGATTTATTAATACACTCACACAGACACTCACATATACATACACACACACACATACACATTCACGTAAATCAGACAGCAACGTTTACCGGCCGTATGGCCTTACCCTTCCCACTAAGAAACCTCAAAACTCCAGTGACACTTACACAGCAAAAAATAAATTTTAATATTACATCCAAGAGGATGCACTTCAATCATGTCGAAAATCTCATTGTATTTTTATGGCCACAAAAATAAACAAATGCAGTAAAAGCAGCGTAATGTTAGTTCATGCACTGTATTTATGATAATTTTATTCATTTTAGCAAGTAAAATTACACCATAATTTTGACACGATTGAAGTGCATCCACTTTGATGTGATATCAAAATTATTTTTTTGCTGTGTATGAGAGATCGTAGAGTTCTCTGCATCTTTCTCAAGTAAGTGTCCAACTAAAAATCCTTCCCATCCCAAGCAGTTGCAAGGACGTGGCCAGGACAGTTCTAGATTATTGGAAATACTGCTACTTACATCTAAGAGGCCAAAATCAATCCCATATCCCGGTCAATACGGTAACGGACGGAGGTGGCAATACTCACATAAAATGGTCTAGAGCTTGTACCACCTACCAATTTGTGCAACTTGCCTAATGCTAATGTTAATATGTTTTACGATAAATTAGTGAATTGCTAATAGTTTTTTTTTTAAATTTACATTTTTACAGTTTTTGTTACAGTTACAGTTACAGTTTTACAGGCGATTGTAGCTGGAGCCCATTAAACGACTAGGGCATATCCGGATTTGTTCCAGGTGTCCTCGTCAAACGGCAAAGCAATTAATTAACTGCTTAAAGATCTCTAAGTTGAGGACAGGTGTACTGTTCCAGTTGGAACGCAATAGCCAAGAAGAAGTGTGTGGATTTGCATTTCACAATTAAATTTAGACACACCAATTTGCTGATATTCATGGCTATTTCAGTGTGAAAAGAAGTTGACATTTTAAATTAAATTTATACTTCTTCACTTGAAGCTTCAAAACCCTACATGTTGAGGTATATTTTAATTTCTGGCACTTGTTTTTATTTCAAAAATACAGCAACATAAACAATTTGCCTGTAGGTGCCACAATTCACGATAAAACTATTCCATTCTTAGACATTTTCATTCACTTAGAATTAGAGATTCAACATGTCAATCTTTTCAATATCTAAGAAACAAATAACAAATAACAAAATAAAAACTTAACAGATAACAAACAAACACACATTCAAGAAGACATACTCACTTTCGAAACCATCTTCATCGGTATCTGCCGCGTCGGTCGACTCCTCCATCCCTACCGCAAAGAAGAGACACGCGAATCAGACAGAAAATTTAATTCGAATCGTTTCAATCACTTCACGATTTGCTACTGACCACCTTTGTTACAGCATTTGCACAGCAGGCAATCCCTAAGGCAAGAGCTCTTAGCGTTCTGTTTTTGCGGCGGATTTCGCTGCTGAAGATGAGAAACCGCGGGTCTCCTTCGTCGGCATTCGTTATTGTGCTCCCTGCCGCCATCATTGCTTCCGTTGGAATTCAGCACGTTGCTCACCAAGACCGATACAGCCTGTCGCGGCAGTGGCGACGAGTCATCCGGTTCTACATCAATGGCCGTAAATCCATTGGAACTCCGACGCACTTGCTGGCTAATAACGGCTACCGCTGGTTCTTGGCTACAGCTGGCCAAATTGGACCTAGGCGCTCGTGCTGCCAGCTGCATTAGGTTCAGATCAACACTTGCTCACACTCACGCACTTTTATTTACTATATTCTTCTCTCAAACGGAAGACGTCCACCTTTTTCGTGATTTTTTTGCTTTCTGTTTCTATTCACTGTTCGCAGGTTCTAGTAAATCTGTCGGCGAACAAAGTCATAAATTTAATTTTATTGTTGGATCTAATCCAAAAATAAAAACGGAATGAAACGCCTAAAGTAAGACTGTGCAAACGTCCATGAAAAATGCTATAATGACCTTTGAATTGAAAATTTTGAAAAATAAATCACGTTGTCATCGGCGGTTGAAGATTCGCATCTGAGGTACTGCGCCATTTGGTTCTATGGGAAAATTTCTTCGTTATAGGTTTATTTTGGTAGTTTGTTAGGCTTTTAGCATAAGTTAAAGCGGAGAGGAAGGGGATGAAACGAATCTTACAGTGTGGTAATTTGATTCCGATTTTTTCCTATCGTGAATCAAATACCTGTAGACATAAGCGTGCCATCAATTATCAATGTGTTAAGTGAAATTTCGTGTACTAAAATATTAGTTTTAGTCATGAACTGCTATGAAGATCTGATGTAATTTGTAGAATAAATATTATTTTGTTAAATAAACATCAAGTATTGAAAGAAGCATTGGGGGTCTCTAGGGTCCCATTGTTCCCAGAATGGTCAATCATCTCCTGCACCTCAATATAATCATAATTAGGTATAATTATACACAGAAACAAATTCTGAATTTTAGCTATCGCGTAAAATCTCCCTTCGTTTAATTTTGAGCTACACTTGGCATAAAAAGCGAAATAGTTTACAAGCTTGCATACAATATTGCTAATTTATGCGATATTGCGCGTAAATTTATGCCAAATCTAGCGTTAATTTTATGTGCGCTATACTATATCTCGCATATATTTACATGAACTTTTCGAACGGTGTAGCAATGAGGAAATATGAAGTTTTTTAATCTTCTAAAGTGCAATCCCCATATTGGATGTACCAAATCATGGCAGTTTCTCCCGAATTCTTTCTAGATGAGTTTTTTTTTCAGTATCTCAATATAATTTATGCTTTATCCAAGAACTGTTTTAACAATTTTTAAATAGAAATCAAGAGTCCCAATTTATGTAAATTCACGAAGGGTCATACCAATCCCATAACATTTCTTAGCCCGAAATTTCCCAAGTCCGTATGTAAACTATTTTACGAGAATCACAATTTATTTCTTACCGCACCATCTAGAATTTATATCTCAGTTACCCATCTCAAAGATCCGTTATTTTTAAAGATCTGGGTCTGAATCACACATATTTCTACAGTCCTAGGATTGATTTGGCGTTCTAAAGTGCATTAAAATGTAAATGTCTCCTTATTATTATTAAGAAAAATATTTGGTTCCATTTGTCCGTCTTTTTGTTCCATTTTACACTCAAAGCATCTTGGACAGCTGCACCCATTTTCGTGATAATAAAGAAAATAATCAAAATTTCGTTAGTTCATAAAATTATTCAATCAAACTTCATCAATTTATCAAATCCGGTTCCTTTTCACCGCTTACGTTAATTAATCAATTTATCGATCTTGTTTTCCGTGCTGAGCACCAATGCTACCGACGCCAGGGAGGCAGCTCCCACACCTGGACCCTACCTATCGACCCATCAACTCATGAACCGGGGAACAACGGCTTTACTTCCCTTCCGAAGGAAGGCGTGATCAGAGATGTTATGCCTCAGAACATCCCGGCGGCACGCCGACTGGGATTGAACCCAGGCCTGCTGGGATGAAAGTGATAAATACTTAACGATCTCAGTTTGTTGATCAATACAGCCACCAGTGCTGTAAAAGATCTACAATACACGGCGATATTCAAAATTCTGCTTTGGTCACTCATTTTAGTTAACACTAATCGTCGAGGCAAACCATGTCTATTGTCAGTGACAATGATGTCAGTGACGAACATTTGTAGATTTTATTTATTAGCTAAATTTGTAATGAAATTAAATGACTTCTACGTACTTAACGTTACACTTTTTGTTACCAGGTGAATTTTTGTCATTGACGAAAAAATGAATGACAAATCTCAGCACTGCAGCCATCTCTCCAAAACTTGATGTCCACTCGATATCGATTTATAGAACCATTTCTATTTTCTCATACGACCGCTATGATGTGGGTAAGCCAATGCCAATGCTTCGAATGAATTTTATAGCAAAGATTGTAACCTCAGAAGAAAGATTTGAGAATTTGCTCTATTTTCTATGCGTCGCTTCCACCTACGTCCCAGTCAAACGCTACTGTACTGTCGTTCTACGCATATCAGTCCCATGTTTCAAAGTTGCTTCTGAGAAAATCGCGAATAATGTTTCGAATCATTTCTGCTCGTTTGAAGAAATATACGTTAAAATAAGTTAGCGCATTGTTTACATTTCAACAGAATCAATATGTTTTAGTGAAAACTACAGAAATTACCTTCAATTAAATTAGTTAAGCCTATTTTTATACGAACAATATTTAATTGGACTGTTATGCCTAGAAATTTGCAATGAAGTAGGAAATTCTACGCAGGTTAGGACTAGGACTAGGACTAGGAACTGTTACTTTCAGAGTTGCTTGATGGCCACGTTGCGTTTGAAGTCTTTACACTTGTGCTTGCATGAGAGTGCTTGCGTTCTCCCCGACATTTTGGAAGATCCTGGAAGGTTTGTATAGCTTTCCATCATTAAATTATACCAACAATAAATTTGTTGACATTGCTATTTCTATAAAACCACTAAAAATATGAGCATCTCAAGAAACTAATGATGAATGCACTATTTACATAGAATATAAAATTCTTAGCATCTTATTCTAGAGTTGGTTGGAAATGCTAACACGAAGCTTTAGTGTGATAATTTATTAGCTAGTGAATGATCTTTAGAAGAGGGTAGGTGGATAGTTCCGTTAGAGTACGGAAGTATGAAAATTGAATAAAAGTTTGAAAATGAGCGAAGGACCATTAATGCGACAGTTTTGCCTAATCTTATTCTACTTAGCAAGGCATAAAGGAGATTGTGCTTAATCATTTTGAGTCCGACCATAGATTTATGCCGGCTGACATGCTGTGGATAAAAGATCAATACGCCACACGATCGTTGACCGTGGGCTTCGATGATTTCAAGAAATACTTTGGAAGAGTTGACATGCACATGCAAATTTATTCCGTACGGAGTTAGCCGTTATACCCCGTACAGACTATGGCTTATATCATGTTATATAGGCTGCCTTGCAATGAGCACTCATACATCTAGTTTTCACTGGAAATCCTATGTATGAGTGCTCATTGCAAGAAGCCTATATTACACGATATAAGCCATATGCCGCCATATGGCCAATAAATTATAAGCACATCCATAGTCACACTTGTATAGTTTGTGTATAGTTGTTGTATAGTGCTCATAATTAATATACAAATAATGCTCATGCTCATAGTAGGTCATACAAGTGTATCCGCAACAATAGTCTGTACGGAGTATTATACTACGTATTGTTATATTATATAAGAGGCTTTTCATGAAACACGTAGACACTATAGAGGGAGTGTGGGGGTGGCGAGTGTCTATGTAAGTGTCTAATAACGCATTATTTGAAATTAGAAACTGGTGTTTTAATATGAAATCCCCTTTTTCTTAATATTTATCAACATAAAATAAAACCTCCACTTCCTAAAATGGTTCATACCGTTTCTTTTGATTATATAAATCCTTTTTCAATAATTTGTGTACACAAATTGATTCGTTAACGATAGATTCAGTAATGAAAATTTTTGTGGGACAGTTATGCGTAGAATTTTAACATGGGACAATTAGGCTTGATGTTGTTTTTATACAAACCCAGAAGAAATTATATGTTTTTTTTTTTTCTATTTTTTAAAAAAGGTACTGTTTTATGAACAAAAGTAAAAAACGTCCAAAAGTAACATGGGACAGATATGCGTAGAACGGCAGTGTATCTGTCACTTGAATTCTGCCAAAGTTGCCTGTCTTCTTGATATGATTCTTAGTAAAAATGAATTTCATGGCTACTGCGATGGTGATTTCCTATAAAACTAGGCATTGTTCTATAATTCTATAACTCGATGGTCTTTTCAATATCGAGTCGTTGAGAGTGTCATTTTCACTGCAGCTTATTTATTTGTTTACACATATCTTTTTTACGCAATTATTTTATAAATGCCTCTCCTCCATTTTAATACTTAACCATTTCTCGCTCAGAAGTTTTACGTTGTTCATAAAGTTAAGTTAAGCTTTCTTTATTAGGGAGGCTTTCAGCCTGAGGCTAGTTCGCCTCCGGTTGTTCATAAAATATTTCAGAAATATCATCGATAATATGAAATATTTTTTAAAACATGTATAACATAAATATGTTTGTGCTAAACAATGTTTGTTCTACATATACTTTTGTTTTTCAGTCTGCATGAAGAAAATGTACATATCAAAAAATATTTTGATATATTCAGCCAAGGTGTCCCACCCGTAGGTTACAACAAAAGATATTGCATACAGCCTAAATTGATGAAACTCAACTAATAGAAGATCAGTAGTATTTTAATTGATTTCGAATCCAGCAAGAGAATAATTAGCACATGGAGAAATAAATAGTATGAACGAATCAGTTAGCTTCGCTAAATTTAAGAGAATTCCACTTTTTCGACAATCGATTTTTTTTAGTAATATTGCCTAATACAGAATTGTTGGTTTGCGTGGGCGTACTTCAGTTCACGCAAAAAGGGTCTAATCAATTTTGTTATTTAAAGTTGATAGGCCCTTTCAAACGTTACGCGAGTTTCATTTGATTTTTTAGAGGATTGCATTTTGAGTGCAATCATGACATTTGTCATAGGATGTTAACAATCCTATGGGTACTTCAATTTGAATACAGATTTGCCAGGATAAAATCTTTTTTTTACTTATCAAGGTACACAGGGGAAAGATGAAATGCAGGGCAAGTTGAAACGGAATCCGTAAATATATAAGGAAGTGAGTTATCACTGTGAATATTTCTAATAGTATAATATAAAATTAAACGCACCCTATGACCATCAAATCAGGTAGTTACAAACAGCTTAGCGTGCTCCTGCTTTGTTTATTTTAATTTTATATGAA